ATTGAAAGTGATATGTTAAATAATTAGGACAGACTCTAGTCTCTGCGATTACTAAAAGCATGTGATTTTGTTATCTTGTGTAAAAAAATTGTATTGTATAAAAATTACAAATTAAAAATTTTAGTAAGAAAAATAAATATGTGTTATTATAATGACTTGTTTTGTTATTGTTACGGGTGGAATCTATATACATATACTCACACACATATGTAAGCTTATGTTTCATACAGAAATACATAAATATCTACTATAACGTTTAATTATATACTGTTTTACGTTGCCGTTGTGTTTTTGTCGAACTATTATTTAATTTTTATATTCAAAAACTATTCAGACGGTCGTCGCGAAAATTTTTGTACGTATGGTATATAACATTACTTATCTGTGACATAAAAAAATTGGAGACATTCATCACGCCAATTTTTTTTAAACTGAGTTTTTATAAGTTTCCCTATAAGCGGCTGTGTTGAAATGACTGAACTTTGAAATTTAATATCTCGGAAACGAAACAGACGAACCTCTTGAAATTTTAACAGCTTCACTACAACAATAATAAAAACGTCTGGTTAAAATTTTAAAACGATTCATCACAGGGTTCTGTCTCTACCGAACGTCTTTCAAGGGAGCCTTAGAGAATATAATATACATGGAGGAAGCATTGTATGCTCCGACCGCGAGACGAGATGAGAGAGACAAAATACAAATAGCAGTACAGCCTTTCTCTCTCTTACACGCCTCTGATTGGTTGGCCCCTTTCCGTATATGTAGGTATAGTCGTGTCCACGAGTGGCGGTCGTGGGGGAACAGAGCAGATATATAGCCAATACCCTACCTCTCCAAATCTCCGCAGCAGACGCACCGATTTTAAAATAGTCGCTGTTTATTAATGAAATAACTTTTAAAATATTGTCAACAAATAAAATAAAAGTACTTAAGGATCATATTACTTAAAAACTCACTAAATAATGTGCAATTACATGTGTATACAAGTAAATAATTAAAGCAATTGACATATACAACACATGAACCAAGGACTTTTAAATAAACGTTAAACATCAAGTGTTTTAAGAAAAATATTTTAATTATTAAACGATATAAAAATGCTTTCAATTTTGACAACAGAATGTTTTAATCCATTTCTAAATATTAACGAAGTGTTAACTCTGCGGACTGCATTTATCTAGTCTCGCGGTCGGAGCATAAAATATGCTTCCTCCATGTATATATTCTCTAAAGGCCTACACAGTCAAATTGACATGAGGTGCACAACTGCGCAGTGCACAGTGCACAAGAATAACATTAGTTGGTATATCTATATCTGTAAAAACGTAAAGCACAACGCGTTGTGAATTATGTATATAGGTATATCAACCAATGTTATTCTTGTGCACTGTGCACCTTATGTCAATTTGACTGCGTAGGCCTTAAGGGAGCTCACTATAGGTAGTAGTAAAATACGTTTATTGGCTTTGAATATAAATTACACAGGCTTACTAGGTATTTTTTTTTTAGTATTAAGTATAGGTTTATTGGCTTTGTAAGAGTACACATCGCCATATACCTTAGAGAATATATACATATATGTATATATTCTCTAAGCCATATACACAGTGCACATTTCAATACAAGGAATACAGTCGAGATGGCAATACTGGCGATAGTAATACACAATATAACAACTTTAATTTAAAATAATACCATATTGTATGTACATAATAACAACCTGAGCTTGCATATGTCAGTTACTCACAGTTTCGTAAAATTTGTTTGTTTATTCGCTTTTCTTCCTTTCCTCCCTCTCCCCTCCTTCCCTCATTGAATATATAACATTATTATTATTACTACTGTACACATATATATACATACGCACGTTCGCACACATAAATACACATAATCATATATACACTTTTTTTTTTTTTTCCTTGGTTCAAGCCTCACAAACTTCAAATGGGATATGCGAGTAGACTAAGTATTAGAAAGAATTCTACAAAGTAGTATCACATTGGAAGCTGTACAAAGATATTTTGCAGTTTATAATGCTATTTGCGTATTGTCTATGAATTTTTTAATTGCAGTCAGTAGAGGTAAAGTTAAGTGGTTTGTGAGGTTGTATATGCTGTAGGGACCCAACAGCTTTTGTCTGCTCAAGGATTCGATTAATTCAATTCTTTCCTCTTTGTAATTACACAATCTAAAAATATATGCTCCGCTGTTTCAGGTTCCCTACCACATTTACACATGATTTCGTTAACAATTTTGTACTTTACAAAGGTGGTTTTCAATAAGGTGTGATTGCACCTTAGTCTATTTATGCAAACTATAATTTTTCTTGGCACCTTATATTTTACAAAACCACAGCTCTTTTTCCTCAGAGTTGTAATAATTTTGAAAGTAAAAATGGCCTTTAGTTTTCGCTATATTTAAACATCTCTTTCTGTTGTTTTCCATGCATATTTTTTTGTACTTAGGTATAAGATCCGAGTAAGGAATCGCAATATTATTTGTCCGTCCACTTATTGCGGCCTCTTTTGCAGCTTTGTCAACATTTTTATTACCACGTATTCCAACGGGAGCCGGGATCCAGAATATTTGAACATTGATATTTAATTTTTTGATCAGAAACAATTTGTCCCTTATTCGCACTATCAAGGGCGACTCGTACAAGAGCCCTTTAACCTTCATGAGCGCTTTTGCTATTCCCTGGGAGTCAGTGAATATTCTTATCGATTTACCTTGTAATTGCCCTGGATGGGAGTTTGCGCAGGCTATGATTTTATCAAGGGTGGAGACTATACCAAAACACTCAGCTGTAAATATGAAAGAGAGGTCTGGTAGCCTAAACGCTTCCATAAAATCTTCCTCCTTCGACCACGTAGCGTATCCCACTGTATGTACCGTGCTTGTAATTTCTATTTTAGAACCGTCAGTATAAACATCTATGTAATTATTGTCGTTACTATTCAAAATCTCGTTAAACATTTGAAAGCAATTTCCTGACGCCTGAATTTTTAATCCCTGCTCTATGCTACAGTCTATTCCAGAAAAAAGTGATTCGTAGTTAGTCTCGTATTTGAAGTATGTGTTATGTCTTTCGATGAGTCCCTCCCTGTACCACACCTGATCATAACATCTAGTTAGAAGTGAGTCTTGCTTGTTAACATTATATAAAGGGTATTCGTTTAATTCGTGTGTTCGTTCTATACTATCTATTACCGGATTTTTAATGTAAGAAAGGTTTTTGAAAATATACTTATAAGCCAGAAATTCAAATCTGCTTGAAAGATACATAATTTTTGATTCTGCTACTAGAACGTTAATAGGGGTGGTGTTTTGATAGCCCATGGACAGTCTAATCGCGTTATTTTGTATGATTTGCAGTGTGTTAAGGTAGCTCTCCCCGCAAGGGGACATTAGAAACCCCCCATCTTCTATTCTGGACCGTATCAAGGCTTTGTATAGATGCAAAAGAACTTATGGGTCAGAACCCCACCATACTCCTCTCAAGCTGCGAAGAATCATTGTTGGGAATATGCACTTGGTTTTTACGTTTTTTGTATGTCGAAGCCACCCCAACTTAATGTCCAAGGCCATCCCCAGGAACTTAACCGTACTGCATAGCTTTAGCCCTATTCCGTCTACTTTGATTATAAGGTTTTTCAGACCTCTTTGGTTTTTGTTGAAGACGAGAATACTTGACTCCTCAGGTGCTACAGCCAGGTTCCGCTCTCTCAACCGAGCAACGAGTTCCGCCACCGCTCTCTCCAAGGTGTTAATGGCTTTCTGGGCATCTTTGTCTGTAGTATAGACTACCAAGTCATCTGCGAACATGATTATTTTTATGCCCTCTTTGATCAATTTAGAAACAAAACTAGTATATATTGAATACAAAATAGGACTCGAGCTACATCCCTGGGGCAAGCCCACTTCTGCATAGTTCTCCCCGTCTGTTTTCAAGTTTACCGGTATCAATCTTCTTTTGTATGTTAAGTTTTTATAAAACCTTATGTATTTCCCTGGGATATTCAACTCTTTGAGGTCGCTTAACAGGGTGTCTGGGATAACCGAATCAAACTCCCCCCTTATATCGAGAAACAAAGCAGTCAGGTTTTTCTTTTCAGCGAAGGCCTGTTGTACGTCATTGACTAGTATCGTTAGGTTGTCTATACAGGATTTATTTTTCCTAAACCCGAATTGGCATGCTGGGATTAATCCCTTATGCTCTAAAAACTACGTCAGTCTTGAGTTCACCATTTTTTTAAAAAGTTTTAATAGGCAGGAGGCCATAGTTATGGGTCGAGCCTTACTACTATTATTTTTTGGTATAAACGTGATTAAGTAAGTATTCCAGCCTTCTGGGAATTCACCCAAATTTAAAACGTCGTTAAATATATCTAACAATGTACGCTTGTAAGCTTCCGGGATGAATCTTAAAATTTCATACGTGATTTTATCAGCGCCTGGAGAAGTATTGTTTTTGAATGAACCTAGCGCTCACTCAAACTCCTCAAGAGACAAGGGGGATTCAAATAGACTTAAGTCCTGGTCAGCAGTTAAGCTTTCCCTCTCATCAAACTCAAATGTCTCAAAAAGCTGGAGTCGGTCTACACAGCGACTCCAAACAATCCTCGGCATTTTTGTGAAACTTTTGATTCCCCAGAGACGAGTTATTTTTTAAGTGACCGTTCTTAAGGGCCTTTACCCTTTGCCAAACTTTTGACAAGGGGGTATGGGAGTTTATTGACTCTGCAAACTTGCGAAAGGATTCTTTCTTGGTTCTCTTATGCAAGGCGGTAGTTTCAGCCACCACCCGTTTGTATTTTATATATTTGTCCAGCGTAACGTTACATTTAAGGGATTTAAATAAGGCCTTTCTTTTCCTGACCGCTCGGTCGCATTCTTGGTTCCACCAAATCTTTTTCGTTTTCGTTTTTCGACCGTGTTCAAGGTTTGTCGGCTCCCTGTTTTTGTTGCGATTATGGGTCTCTTTTCTCTTTTGTACCTTGTATGAGTTTTCAATTAATCTGTCCAGGTGAGTCGTAAAGTCCTTGTATCTAGATAAAACTTCTGCGTTAGTAAAGTCCAGTTGACTAAACCTTGGTGTGCTCACTGTCAGAGAATTCGAAAACCGGTCCCAATCAATGTTTTTCGTGTTATAACAAAAAGTTTTTCCATGCACTTTTTCTGGAATTACGTTTAGTTCAATTGTAATAAGATAGTGATCGCACCCCCAAGGGTCGTCTGATACCACCCAGCTAGCTTCCATCGCAACCCTAGGGGAGGCGAAGGAAAGATCAATGTATGAAAATTTTATTACACCTGGATCATTTTGATCATGGTAGTAATGGGTGTAATCCATAGTATTTAGAATGAGAAACTCGTCGTAGTCTAGAACCTCCGCCAAAATTTCTCCGATAGGACAGGAACGGTCGCTGCCCCAGTAGGGGTGGTGGCTATTAAAGTCACCTACCAATAAAAATTTTTCCCACTTACTAACTTCCACTTTTAGTGATTCTACTTACTGCCGCGTTAAGTTTTTGCCTGGGGTAGGCGATCTATAACAGGCTGCAATGCACAAATCACCCTCTCCAGTGCGAATAGTAACAACCNCCCCTCGGGTCATTTAAGATTAATTGTTTAGGTAAAACAGTAGGCCCCCCCGAGTTATTTGGGATTAATTGTTTAGGGATTATTTATTTATTCAACCGTAAAACAGTAGGCCCCCCAGATCATTAGGGATTAATTGTGCAGGGATTATATATTGTTTAAGCCGTAAAAAAGTAGGCCCCCCGGGTCATTTGAGATTAGTTTTCTTTCCTAAGTGTTAATGATTGTTTTCTGGGGTTATTGGGTTAAAATGTTTGTATTTGGTCATGCAGGGGCCCTGTATCGTTGGGGGCCCAGAGGGAATTCTCCCAAACTCCCTTATGGCCAGTCCGCCCCTGCTTTTCAATGAGTGAATAGCTACAGTGTTAGTGTACTGTAAGAAATATTAACATGTGTATAAGTTGCAATAAGCGTTCTGTAAGTAAATATCGAGAAAAGAGAGACAAGTTAGAATTAAATAAAATGACTGTAGCGAAGAAAAAAAAAATATAAAACTTATGAGTATATAAACTTAAGTTTATTTGTTGCCGTTGTTCTTCCCTTTTTCCTGCAGTTTCCTCTGTAGTCTTTATGTTATTTTGTTGAGTCTGGATTGGTCCTGGTGCGCCTTGTTCGCGGTTTCTTTTTGAGGTCTGGATAGATGTGCAGTTTGCCTCCCAGGATTGGTTGGGGGTTCCAAACCCGGATGATGGTGCTGCATTTCGCTCCCCTCGTTTTCCTCATTCCTCTGTTCATTTAGTTTTACACTTGGAACTGGCGTCGTTCCGAACTTTGCCTCCAAGCCGCTGTAGTTCACTATCTTCCTCTGGTTTATGTTTGAATTTCGCTTCTTGCTGCCCCTATTCGGAATTACTTGTTCAATTTGAGCAGAATAATTTTGTAGGACTTGGCTATAGTACTTAATAATTGGATTTGTTTGCAGAGTAGGAAAGTTCTCTTCTGTGTTCAAGGGAATCCTTGGGACGTAGGAAATAACTATGTTCCTTGCCTCCCAGAACGACAAGTTTCTATATGCCATGATAGTATTTATCTTTCTTTGTTTTTCGTACATTGGGCACGTTCTGTCGTTGCTTTTGTGTGCTCCTTGGCAGTTGACACATACCGGCTCTTTACAAGGGCAAACGCCTTGTTCTCCATGGTCAGTTTCTTCACAAGTCAAGCATATTTTGGTTTCCTTACATCCCGCTGCTGAGTGTCCATATTTAAAGCATTTGAAGCACTGTCTGGGATTGGAAACGTATGGCTTTACTTCTACTGCAAAGCCGAGAACATATGTGCTTGTCGGTAAGGTTTGGACATCAAATGTCACTATCACAGAGCTTGTGTCCATGAATTTGTCTCCTTCTGAGCTACAATGAGGATTTCTTTTCTTGATTCTTTCACACTCTACCACTTCTACTTCCGACAGCACGCTTTTTTTTATCCTTTGTATCGTGATGTTAGTTGGAATATTTCTAATGACACCCTTTCTTTTTTTTTTAAATCTGGAATGAACGCTTCTAGACTATGCGCTGTTAAGAAAGAAACTTCTCTGTCTAATATGTGATTTGCGTTCTTGATGTCTTTGGAGAGAATTTCGACCCGGTACTTATCCTTCCTTTTAATCGTTATAAGTGAGCGATATTTGCCTAATACAGC